AAACAGACAGTGTGGTTGCTTTTTTAACTTTAGATGGGGGCCGACTGATTTGGACCAGGTGACAAGGTCACTAAAAACCAGTTTTAGCGTGATTTCAGGCACCGACTTGAAAGTTTGAGTGCTAACCGAATAGTTATGATCAATGTTTTGCTTGAAAAACAGGTTCCAAATATGTAAGATCATTTTTTTAAAAGTGATATTTGCCCCCATTATGAGTTTCTTAAAAAGTTTCTGATAAATTCATTTTTAGGATACAACAAAGTCCTCTGGTCCCGTTTGGATGACGGTAATTTTGATCAAAAATGTGACTCTCATTTTTTANTCATTTTTAGGATACAACAAAGTCCTCTGGTCCCGTTTGGATGACGGTAATTTTGATCAAAAATGTGATTCTCATTTTGAAATTCTACATTATCATGTTTGGATAGTAAACTATTTAACAATTCAAGTTGGGAATAAGATTACTACTGTAATCAAATTCTAAACGATGATGGGTATCCTAAATCCATGACCAAAGATAGTAATCTCATTCTTACATTAATTGGATATTCTAAAAACGAAATAAAAATCTCAAAATGCAGCTCCTTCCTAAAATTATCATCATTCTAAAAATTAAGCTCTCTTCTTAAAATCAATCTCCTNGCATTGAAGAACAAAGATCACGTGCTACAAGTGTTTAAATATTTTCATGTTAAGGTGGAAAGAGAAACAAGGAGGAAATTGAAATGCATTCGCACGGACAATGGTGGTGAGTACCTAGGACCATTTGATGGTTATTGTGATACTCATGGGATTAGACATGAAAGGATGGTTCGCAAGACTCCTTAACAAAATGGTGTTGCCGAGAGGATGAATCGCACTATTGTTGAAAGGATTAGGTGTGTGCTTTCACAGGCTAATCTACCTAGATCTATTTGGGGTGAGGCAATGTGGACAACAATTGACTTAATAAATCTTTTTCCTTTGGTTCCTCTACATGGTGAAGTGCCCTAAAAATTTTGGAAAGGTATAGACGTTTCATATGCTCACTTGAAAGTTTTTGGTTGTAGGGCATTCATTTACATACCCAAAGATGAGAGGTCTAAACTTCATTCTAAGGCAAAGAAATGCATATTTCTTGGATATGCACATGAGGAATTTGGGTATAGATTGTGGAATCCGGCCGACAAGAAACTTGTTAGAAGTAGGGATGTTGTCTTTCTTGAAGATCAAACAATTGAAGACTTAGAAAAGGTTGAACAGCCCGAGACTTATATTGATGATCTTATTGACTTGGATCCGATTCCTTCACCTACTGTGCATGATGAAAATTGGGAAGAGATGCAGCCACTTCATGATGATGAAGTAGATGATGGGATTCCAAATGATGTTGAGCTAGANAAATTCTACATTATCATGTTTGGATAGTAAACTATTTAACAATTCAAGTTGGGAATAAGATTACTACTGTAATCAAATTCTAAACGATGATGGGTATCCTAAATCCATGACCAAAGATAGTAATCTCATTCTTACATTAATTGGACATTCTAAAAACGAAATAAAAATCTCAAAATGCAATTCCTTCCTAAAATTATCATCATTCTAAAAATTAAGCTCTCTTCCTAAAATCAATCTCTTTTCTAAAGTTGATTTCTTTTTTGAAAAAAAAAATTGAAAATGATATTAATTTTTACACTAGATTATTAACAATGACCAAATACTCTCAGATATCTTATTATTAGGAATGAGATACCCATTTCCAATTAAATTACAGCCATCCAAATGTGGTCTATGAGTTTCTGCAAGTAGCAATTCTCAAAAAATTTCTCTCTCTATTGAAACTATTTAAAAACCAAGTATATTATAGAATTGGAAGAATAATAATTCTCATGTACAAGTTTTTCTTATATATCCATGAATGAATACCGTTAACGACCACCATAAAAGTTATAACTTCTGAAATTTAGATTCCAAATTATCTTATGCAACTATTGGAAAATAAATTAAATAATTATTCAACAATCAGTTATTTAACTGACTGTTAAAACCCAACGGTCATGTTTTTTATTATACTATCAGCCAAAAGTTTGTGATATAGTTTGTATAGCAGAAAAATAAAATTTCAATAATCTTCCATAAGATTTTGATCACATGGATAACACAAGCCTAAAAAGCATCAAATATGCCACTAGCACCCTACATCCCGCGCGCGCGTGTGCGTGTTCGGTTCCAATGCATCTTGAAACTTTTGGGCTTGGCCACTATGGTCACATAAATAAATTGGGCCCATCTGGGCCTGACTTTTTTTGTTGTAAAATAAAAGATTTGAAAATGTAGTGAAAAAGTTAGGGTCTTTTTGGTTTGTGTTTTAAAAAATAGTATTCAAAAATAGTTATTCGANTATCAGCCAAAAGTTTGTGATATAGTTTGTATAGAAGAAAAATAAAATTTCAATAATCTTCCATAAGATTTTGATCACATGGATAACACAAGACTAAAAAGCATCAAATATGCCACTAACACCCTACAGCCCGCGCGCGCGTGTGCGTGTTTGGTTCCAATGCATCTTGAAACTTTTGGGCTTGGCCACTATGGTCACATAAATAAATTGAGCCCATCTGGGCCTGACTTTTTTTGTTGTAAAATAAAAGATTTGAAAATGTAGTGAAAAAGTTAGGACCTGTTTGGTTTGCGTTTTAAAAAATAGTATCTAAAAATAGTTATTCAAAAATAATTTTTGATAAGAGTTTTAAGAAAGTGGTTTTAATATTTTATGAGATAAAAAACTTGTTTGTTTAGATGATTTCAAAAATAATTTTACAATACAGAAAATAGTAAAACCTGTTTGGACAGTCTAAATATATATTTGAACAGTAATTTAAATATTAATAAAAAAATATAAAACAGTTATTTTTATATTGATAATTTCATAATATATATATATATATATATATACTAATATCTGAACAGTCAAAATTGTTTTTTTTGTTTCCAAAATTTTCAAAGAAAACTCTGAAAACAAGCTACACTTATTTTTTGTTTCTTTGACTCAAATCTCATTTTTTTTCCCAAAATTTAGAGAACAAAAATACAAAACAAACAAGTTTTAGGTATTTTCAAAATTTTGAGAACAAAAAACAGTTTCCAAAAACTAAACCAAACATGACCTTAGTTTCCAAAAAATACTTGGAACCATTTGGAATATTCATAAAAAAAGTTGATAAAGTTGAAAAAATCTGTTTGCGAGGCTTTCTAGCTTTTTTGAATTTTTGTGTCAAAACAAAAAAATAATTGCATGGATGTATAGATTGTGTCTAATAGTTCCCAAACTATAAATTTAAATTTTTTTTATATAATTAATAATATATTATAAATATAATAAACTAAAAAATTAAGTGAGACCCAAAAAAAACTTCCTAAAAAACAGCTTCAAAAAAATCGTTTTGAAAAGTCATTATGAAAGCTAATGAAAAAGCCGGGGGCAAATCGGAGGACCTTGCTTTTTTATCAGCTTTTAAAAATAAAATTGCATATAAAGTGTTTAAAAGTTTAATAAACTTTCAATATGAGATTGTATTTTACACATACCCCTTCCTTCCCATAATATTACAACCTCAAAAACCTTTCACAATATTGACACATTTTTCACATGGTTGTGGTTGACACAAATAGGAAATGAATACTTCAATGATATTGAAACTTACAATTTTTCGATATAGAAAACGATTCTTGCTTGTAGAGCTTGTTTCGAGTTATTTGTATCCCTTATTTGTGAAAATAATAACATAAGTGAAATAATAAAACTTTATACATGTCACTTTGGGATGAATCAAAAATATGAGGTAATATACCAAAATGATATTTTTCGTAAACAGAGTCCAATCTAAAATACTGAAATAAATGGATGGCAAGTTCTTTCTCCAAACCGTGACGCCGAACAAGTAACAAAGAAAAGGAAAAAGAAAAAAAAATAGAGGGATATACCCTTTTTTTCATTTAGGATTGCACATTCTTCATTTGAAAGATATAGATGCACTATATATGCACTTCAATGATATTCAGATTTTACATTTTGTAATATTATATGATTTATTAGGAAAAGTGTGTATCCTACAATTTTTTGAGGACGCANATATAGATGCACTATATATGCACTTCAATGATATTCAGATTTTACATTTTGTAATATTATATGATTTATTAGGAAGAGTGTGTATCCTACAATTTTTTGAGTACGTAAGCCTCTTTAATGAGAGTATTTAGAGATAAAAATATTGCATTAGAATAATTTTATCCAAAAGTCCACTTAACCTATATTTGGGTTTGGGTTTTGCCCCAAACCTATATTATGAGCCTGAGTGAAATCATAGAAATAAATTCGTTTAGGTGGGAGAAATATCTCCTTAGATTGGAATAAAGTTGACTAATGCTATTGGGACCTAAAAAGTGAGGGAGTCCTAATGAAAATATCCAAGAGTTACACTCACAACAACATTATTGGACCACGGCAATGCCACATCATTAAGTCGATAAATTAGGACAATTTTTTAGATCCCAATAACATTAATGAATAAAGGTCAGGAAGATATAGATTCCTTTGTCTTCTTCTTTGGAGCTCCACAAAGAGAGAGAGAGAGAGAGAGAGAAAGTTTTCAAAGAAAATTTTTTTTAAGAGTTGTGTTGTGTCCTTCGTCGATCTTTTTTCTGGTGTTTGTGTGTATTCGTTGGCTCCAAGGATTGGTCAAACCTCGCCTTAGATATGTCTTCTTCTTCTATTCTTCTTTTGCAATCTGGATCACTTTGATCCTTGGTGGTGGTCTCAAGGACTCCAATTTCTTATTCCTAGGTTTTTAACCTTAGGAGTCTTAATAGATCACTAGGCTTCCTCCCTTTCTTTACTAATCAGGCTACTGTAGCTAGGGATTTTCTACTTAATGACTGGTGTCTTGATCTGAGCTATCGAGGATTTCTCTTTAAATCTCTTGAGGTTATATCTTAGGCTCACTTGTTTTGCTCCCATGGTTAGGGTAGTGCCATCTTCCTCGTTTTCCTCCTCTACCATTTCTTTTATTTCTACCATATTCAGGGGTGACTCTGCCCAGGCTAAGGGAAACTTATCCCATAGGAATGCTAACTTTGACTTGGATGAGGTCTTAAGGGATGAAAATCCTATGGCTGTCATTAACCTTGAACTGGATGCTCCCCACACCCTGAGGATTTGTTGTCTGAGAAGGTTGTTCCCCCATAATTGACTTATGAGATGGCTCCAAAGAGGGGGTGTCAAGAAGANCTCCCCACACCCTGAGGATTTGTTGTCTGAGAAGGTTGTTCCCCCATAATTGACTTCTGAGATGGCTCCAAAGAGGGGTGTCAAGAATAGGCTAGAAAGTCTTCAAATTATATACCCTCATCGTCTGGGGCTAGCCTTTCTAAATGGGCAAAAAGTCTGTTCATTATTTTGACGACCTAACCTTTGTTGCTACCATGGTGTGTAGTAAGGTCACTAAAGCCCGAGTTCAAGCCATCAAGGAACAATATGGGTTCCTTGATGATGTGGTTGTCTAAGCTCCTACTCGGGATGAATGTTGTAACATTTATTACTATAGGAAGGTCTGTGTCTTCGAGGCTACCTTTGAGGTTGGCTTGAGATTTCATTTGCACCCCTTAATTCAAGTTGTCCTTCACCAGTTCAATTTGTGTCCTTCTAGAGTGTCAACTAATAGTTGGGGCTTGTTAGTAGGTCTGCTCATCCTTTGGCATCAGAGTTGTATAGGGTCTTTCCCCACTATCCTTGAATTCCTTTATTTTTTCCACTTTTAAGTCTTCCCTAGCTTAGGGATTCTATTACTTCGTAAAAAGGGCCAAGGTAATAGACTTGGTAGTCAATCCTTCTTTCTCTCACAAGAGCTAGAAGGATGATTCTTCTTTATGTCATGGGATGCATAGGAATTTGAAGGAGAAGTACTTCAACACTTCGGGTTCCTTAGCGCTAAGAATCCCCCAAAAATACGAGTAAGTCTTTGATTGATGTTGTGGTTGTGGTTGTGGTTGTGGTCTATTCTTGTATCGTTGATTGGTGACTAGGTTGTGCTATTTTTTTAGGGTGTGCCTCCCCTAAATAGGTCTGAGCTTATTCATGTTGCTTAAGTTGAGGAGTACAATTCAAGGCTCTACATTGAGCTGGTAACTCCTAAGAACTTAGCTAAGTATCAACTAGGTTCCCTGGTTGAAGAAGCTGCCTCGACTGAGGAAGTTATGTTTGGTAAGCAACTCTTGCCTTTTCCTTAGTTCAAGTGTCTAATTTTCCTTAGTTGATCTTCCTATATTCTTTGTTGACCCTGCTACAATGGTATTTGACAAGGAAGCTCTAAAGAGGGCCATAATTGAGAGAAAGCTTGCCAAGCAGACTAAGGATTTTGGACCCTTCAAAAAGCTAAGGCATTTGGTGAAATATTTTGAGCTCTCTACTACTGACTTTCCAAATCCCAAATAGAGCTATGACTTTCGACCTTCCCCTATCTCAAGAAAGGACCGAGGAGGTCGCCCTTATTGAGGGGTGAGAAGGTCTAGAGCCAAACTCTCCTAAAAAGGTAGGGTTTCCTTCAGAGAAAGATCTTAGGAAGGCTTCTAATGTCCCTGCTCCTCCAGCTCCCATAGTTAAACGGCTAGCTAGTAGCAACTCTAGTCCTCCTACCCAGCCTTTGGAGGTGCAAAGCTTTCTATGCAGCGCAACTGTGGCTACTAAGGCATTTACAACAATTATACCTGAGGCTAACCTGCTAGAGGTGGGGAAGCTTACAAGCAATGATAAGGCTTTGAACCCCCTTTTTATGGCCTTGCTGCGGTGGGGAAGGCTTTGAACGCTTCGGCCTTGTTCTCTTCATCTATTTGCCATCTACACACATGCCAAATAGTAATAGGGCATTTACTTAGTATCCCAAGATAATAGGGATCAAGTTCAAACTTTGAGATTTCTCTCCTTGTCTCACTAGTATTGCATATGCCACTCACGAGTAGAAATCTACACCCTGAACCATCTCGTTCATTTTCTTTTCGACCCCCAAGGTTATGTTCTCTAACCTTAGTGTCTCTTATCCATATACATTTAACCATGCATACAATTTACATAACACATAACACATAACATGTAGCATTTACAACACATAACATGAAATGCAAAATGGATGCAGTGGTCTAGATCCATACCCCATCATGCCCTAGATAATCCATAAACCTAGGCTCTGATACCAACCAAGAGCATGAGGGTCACTTAAGGATTATTCTCTAGATCTTGAAGGACCATCAGTTGTAAGTCAAGTTTANATCTATTCTTGGTCTTCTTGCAATTATTATCATGTTTTACACAAGTTAGGGCGGAATACCCATGAAATATCTTTTCTTGCTTTAAAACCCTAGTTTTTGGAGAGTGATGGATTTTCTTCTTAAATTCTTCCTTTATTATTGATTTTGAAACTATAGTGCTTTGTGTTGAGTACTAAAATGATGTTGTTGTGATCTCTTGTATTTTTCTTAATTGGTATTGGAATTGTCACATGATAAATTTGGGGATTTTTGAGATATGCTTGTCAATCGAGAAATTAANCTCACAAAACTTCAAATTTTTGAATTCTTTCCCTCTGCTCTTGGGCAATCTTTCCTCTTGCTCAAAGATGTCCTATGGGATAAAATAACTATACATTAATGTGTAAAGGACCACGGTTGTATGGGTATAGTCCCATTTAAGGGGTTGGCTTTGACGTGATGTCAGGTGGTACGACAATTACAGATAATTTCATGGGTTGACAGGTGATCAATGATTACCAAAAGACTCCCGANTTTCTACCACTCGTAGTGGGGTTAGTGCTTTGGTAAGACTAAATCGCTATTACTCACGGATATCGAGGTGGAGGATTAGTATACTAATGCATAGGTTGGATACGTTAATGCCATTGGTATGGTATACACNAGATAATTTCATGGGTTGACAGGTGATCAATGATTACCAAAAGACTCCCGATTTTAGGAGCGTTGCAGCTCTGTTCTCAGGGATGGAAGAATAAATTCAATGGGTGCAATAACCTTGATTCTAAAGGCCAAGTTAAAATGTGTCTCATTAGTGGTAGTCTCGACTGTTGTTTTGTATGCCTATAGCATGTTTAGCAAGTGATCTACCCACTGGCTTTTTGATGCCCCTNTATATTGTAAAATGTTCAAGTTATGAATTATTGTTTATTCTACCAGAAATGGTTTCTACAAGAATCTTAGGAATATGGGATTCCACAAGAACTTGTGAAAAACGGTTTATGGTGAAATGAATTTTTAATTGTATATTGAGTTCTTTTATTAANGGATAAGCTAAAGAAGAGAAATAATTCTTGATTCTTAGTTCGGAACAGAAGCTCTTAAAGCCATTATTGTCGAACTGCTTCCCAGTGTCTAAGGCTATGGTTCTGGGAATCCCAAAATGAAAAATGGTTCACATCCAAACAAAGTTATTTATTTTCTACTCGCTGATCATTGCAAAGGGTTCTACCTCTGCTCACTTCTTGAAATAATCGATTGCAATTACCACAGACTTGCACTAACCTAGCCTTATGGGGGGAAAAAGGCCCTATAATGTCAATACTCCACTGTTGTAAGCCAAGGGCACAAGACTGGGGGTGAGCTGTTCTAGAGGGCACCTTTGTATGTTAGAATGTACTTCGCATGCTTTGCATTTTCAAACCAGATTTGTTAAACCCTTCATGATGAAGGCTANAGAGTTGATGAACCAGAGCACTGGGAGACTCCGATAGACGGGAGCATTAATCCCGAAGTGGATGTTTAGAGCGACACTTTCTTTTGTTCTATACTAGGATATTTATTTTGGAACATTGTGAAGTCTAGTTTTTCTTTTGTTATTCTGCTGCGCTATGATAGTTAAATTTTTGGGCTGTAAACGCCATGGTTGGGCATATTCTTTTGGATAGTGTTGTAAATTTTATGGATGAAAAATGAAGTTTTATTTATTTATGGATCATATTAGGGCTCTAATGATGTGAAGGGTTTATAGATTGTAATATCGTCCAAGGTGAGNGTAAACCCCACCCTTTCATCTTTATATATGTATGTAGGTTTATGTAGCAAGTTATTATTTCTTTTGAAAATGTTAATATGAAAATTCGAGAAAATAGTAGTTAAAACTTAGTTTAACTTGCAAATATATGAAATCATTATAATAGAACTTATACCAACTATGTTTGATGTACAAATATATGTTGTAAAAGTTTGAGTTGGTTTTGGAAGGGTTTAAAATGGATTTGAAATGAAAAACAAGGGAAACAGGCAAGGCTGAACAGACCATACCGGTATTGCGTACTGGTACACTCGGAAGTTACCGTACCAGTACACTACTGTTCAGAGAGTTTACCTTACCGATACTGCGTACCGGTATGCTCTGTAAGTTCTAGATATTTTAAGTCGCGATCTGGGGTCCATTTTTCACCCTATAAATATATAATGACACCTCCATTAGATCCATTTCAACCTTTCTAACCCTAGAAAACCTTAGAGAGGAAGAAAGGAAGAGAAAAATACAAGATCAAAGGGGATTTTCACTTCAAGAAGATCAAAACCCTAGTTTTTTAAGAACACCAAGGTAGGAGATTTTCTTCCATTCTTGTCCATTGATGCTAGGGCTAATATATATGTATTCTTTGACTCTAAATCTATATATTTGCTATGAAATCATCTATTCTTGGTCTTCTTGCAATTATTATCATGTTTTACACAAGTTAGGGCGGAATACCCATGAAATATCTTTTCTTGCTTTAAAACCCTAGTTTTTGGAGAGTGATGGATTTTCTTCTTAAATTCTTCCTTTATTATTGATTTTGAAACTATAGTGCTTTGTGTTGAGTACTAAAATGATGTTGTTGTGATCTCTTGTATTTTTCTTAATTGGTATTGGAATTGTCACATGATAAATTTGGGGATTTTTGAGATATGCTTGTCAATCGAGAAATTAAGTTTGATATTGTATCTCTCATGAGTGTGGGATGACCATGGGTGGCCTTTGACGAGATATCGTAGAGTGGGTAGACGTTATTCATACTCCGTGTGGATTTGAACTTTTTCTACCACTCGTAGTGGGGTTAGTGCTTTGGTAAGACTAAATCGCTATTACTCACGGATATCGAGGTGGAGGATTAGTATACTAATGCATAGGTTGGATACGTTAATGCCATTGGTATGGTATACACCCTTCCTAAAGGTTGGATATCTTTGAGAAGATTTAGGTGTGTGTGTGTGGGCTAGATGTTACTCAATGCGTTGATTCATGTGGATGCCTTACATCATGGTTGAGATACATGTATATATTGTAAAATGTTCAAGTTATGAATTATTGTTTATTCTACCAGAAATGGTTTCTACAAGAATCTTAGGAATATGGGATTCCACAAGAACTTGTGAAAAACGGTTTATGGTGAAATGAATTTTTAATTGTATATTGAGTTCTTTTATTAATTAAATTATTGTTGTTATTTAAACTTGAGATCTGTTTCAAATGTCCCTGTTTTCTTCAAAAAGTTATATATGCTAGTTGTAAAATGAGACCGACCATTTTATATGCTTTTCTAAACCTTGTTCGAGTTTGGGAGGAATGTTGCTACAGAGCTTAGTGCTCACCCCCTACAAACTATATTTTTTTTCAGATTGTGTACTGGAGAAGGAGTTGAGAGTTGATGAACCAGAGCACTGGGAGACTCCGATAGACGGGAGCATTAATCCCGAAGTGGATGTTTAGAGCGACACTTTCTTTTGTTCTATACTAGGATATTTATTTTGGAACATTGTGAAGTCTAGTTTTTCTTTTGTTATTCTGCTGCGCTATGATAGTTAAATTTTTGGGCTGTAAACGCCATGGTTGGGCATATTCTTTTGGATAGTGTTGTAAATTTTATGGATGAAAAATGAAGTTTTATTTATTTATGGATCATATTAGGGCTCTAATGATGTGAAGGGTTTATAGATTGTAATATCGTCCAAGGTGAGTTTTGGGGCGTTACAGTTTCCCTCTTGAAGGTATTTAAATAAGGGATCCATCCATCTTGAACTTCCGTCTACTTGCATGAACTCCTCTTCCGATTCTTAAAAGATGCTAGATTCTAATAAGTGTTCCACAACAACTACTCTGTCAAGGCTTCCCTATGCTGTAGTAGCAAACTTGGTCAACAAATCTTCTTGAGGATTTTCTGCTTTTAGGAATTCCACATGGATGAATATATTAAGAAATTCATTCACAACTCTTAGATAAGCATCCATTCTTTCCTTCCTAGCGTTGTATTTGGTATTAACCTGCCATACGACAAGTTGGCAGTCACTGCGAGTTATCACCTATTGAGCTTCCTTAATAGGGCCAGCCTAAGCCCTACAATCAACACCTCAAATTCTACCTCATTGTTGGAGGCTTTGAAGTCACACCTAAAAGTGTACTCGAAGTCTATACCTTCTAGCAAGGTTAGGATAAGACTAGCTCAACTTTCTTGAGCATTGAAAGCTTTGTTTATGTACAACTCCCAAATTGGGAAATTGAGTATAAAACCTTCTTTATGTGGTCTCATGACATGCTAAGGGGATGAGGTGAACTCGACTATGAATTCTACTAGGACTTGGCCTTTTGTTGTTGTTCTTGACTTGAACTTAATGTCAAATTCTTCGAGTTCGATTGCCCATTTGACTAGATGACCTGATGATTTCGATTTGTGCAAGACTTGTGTCATTGGCTGGTTAGTGGGTACCTTGATGGTATGAGCTTGAAAATAAAGCCCAAGCCTTCTTGTAGTAGTAAAAAGAGCTAGAAATAACTTCTCCATCTTCA